AAGTAGTCTGGGCTGAAAGAAAAGGGTTTTTTAAAAGTGTTTACAACACCAGTTTGTTCTTTCGGCAGTGGTGACTATGCATCATTTCTGAAATAAGGAAATTGAGCTGGAAACATCAGTACTCATAAAACATTTAGAAGCAAGTTAATCTATCAAAATCAAGTGTAAATAATTTAAAAATCCAACTCTGATATTTCAACTGTGTAAATATATTGAATCTGCAACACACTAGTGAACATGTCATTTTCAAACGCAGCTTTGATTATCAAAAATGTAAATGAAGATATTTGAAGTACAAACCAGGGCAAGCAAGAGCAATATTTTACTTATAAAACTAACAATCACAAAAACAACTGGTAAGTAAATGGGAGGTGATTATCAGAAAAAGTGAGCAACTCCCAGATTTGCCAGCAGTTTCATACCTGGTTTGATCACCTATTCGGATTTCTAAACATGTAACAGAGACGAAGGGAAGTTCATTCCCTGCAAAGTGAAATAAACTAGGATTCAAGTCAGAGTAGCCTGATTTAGGCATCGCATCAGATGTTGAAGGCTGAAAATAACGGTAGGGATGAGTCCAGCCACTGTCTTTTTTTGTCCAGTAGTTCTCGGAGTGCTGTGTGCAAGGCACAGATCTTACTTTGGCACTTGACCATCTGCAGCTGCTTCGCTCTAGCCCCTAGTGAGTTAGTGTCCATGAAGTCCATCTTAATGAAGTAGAGGAAAGGGTCTTCAGGAATATAAAAGATTTACCCTGCTTAGCATGGAGCTGTGTGCAGTGTGAAATAGAGAGCAAGTGGTGCATGTGCTGATAGTTGAAAAGATCTGTGGTTTAAACAGCTCGGTCTAAGAGACTGCAAACTGTCTTTGGAGCTGGCTTGGCGTGCTGAGCGCTGCAGAGCACGGTCAGCTCGCCGCCGCTTGTTCCTATAATAAAAATGCTAGGGCCTTTTTACCTATTTGTTTCTGCTTCCTTTGGGTTTACTGGTATGTGAAAGGAAAAAAAAAAACCAAGCATATGTTCGGTTGTTCAATCAACCTTTTCTGAATCCACACTCGGTGATCTCAGTGAGTCATTACGGCATAATTACACTTTGAGTGTGATACGCTGTTTGTAGAAAAGTATCTATTTTTAGCTGAAGAAACACTACAGTCCCTGAAAGGAGGAGAAAGAAAGAAAAAAAGGACGGAAGAAAATCTGTAACCACCAAATCAGTGCTATTGTTAACTGATATTACGAGACACCCTGTAGATTTACAATGCTTGCGTTCAGCCACATAAAAACCGCACTGAAAAGAATGCCTACCAGGGGTTAAATTCATATGCCTGCGCTGCAGCCTATTTCTGTCAACACTCAGCTCAGGAAATAAACATTTATGCTTTCTGAAATGAAAGTGTATTTTTGAAGACTAGCCGTCAGATATTTTTTGCCCTTCACACTTTCAAATGCTTAGCCTTTTTTGTAAGTTGACTGCAAAGTGCATCAGTTTGCTAGGCAAAAAGAAAAAAAAAAAAAAAAATCTTGACAAGTGCCCATGGCATCATTGTCAAGCACACGAGTGTCTAGCAGAAGATGGCAGGAGGATTGGCACAAAACATGCTTCCTTCAAGCTTCTTACCTCAGGGGTACCTGACTCTTGAGAAGCCTTTCAATCCCTCCAAATGACGTTATTGCAAACTGTCATCTGGTTTATTTGGAGTGCACTGTATCGCAGATAAACATGCTATTTAACTGCAGGTCAAGGTACAGAGTCATTCTGCTAGCAAATGCCTGAGATACATTAAATGGCATTGACTTGGGGAGGGAGATGGAAAGAGATCAAAGTTGTCACCAATATGGTACACGCTAAAGGGGAAGAAGGTACACAACATTGTATTTTAAAAAGCCATTATGCAGTTCTACATTTAAAACATTGACCTGCAAGACTCTTAAGGATTAAGGAGCCACACAATACACGACAAGGTTCAAAGCCACGCCGTCATGCAGCATCTCAGGGCCATTTGGAAAGAGCTTACAGTTGTACTGGGAAGGCTACCATCGGTCCAGAAAGCTGGAAGTGTATTTCGTCTAATTTGGAGACTTTTTTAAAAATAGTTACATTTTAAAATAGAACACATCCACTTGTCACAGAACATGGTTATCTCGGGAATTCATATAACAACAACTCAGAGAATTGGAGCACAGTTTGGCATGAAATAAGTATAACCTCCTCCAAACAATTAGAAATAAATCTCTGTGTGTAAATACATACAGCTGTGTAATCCAGTCTTTTAACTGGGACTTGGTGAACGTCTATTAAAAGGGCATTGGTGTGATACGAGACACATGCTGGATGCTTTCACATTTTCTGAACAATCAAACCAAAACAAAACCAGGTTAATTACAACTTCCTGCAGCTTTACATTCCCACGAGGGATGCCTTTAAAAGTTGAAACATGCTTTCACTGGGCAGGCTTTCAAGGGGAAGTTACTTCGATGACGAAGAAAATAATCATGTTTATTTGATTTATTATTGGAGAGCAGAACAGTGTGGGTTATATTTACCAGTTTTTCTATAAGGTACAAAATTTCTTTTGATTTTTTTGTGTGTCATATAAAAACAATTAGTATATTTACTGCACCAGAATGCAGAATTTTCAAGAGTGCAGTATAATAAATTATAGGCAGCATCCTATTTTTTTTTCCCCTCACAGGGCATATGTAATTTCCTTTGACTGGGGCACACAATAAATGTTATTGAAACATAGCATTATTTATTAAAAAAAAAAAAAACCAAACAACAAACCTGTACTAAAATAGATAAGTAAATAAAAGAAGGAATTTGGGAGTTCTCAGGAAAAAAAAGAACAGAGAGAAATTGCAGGTTAAACTTTTTTTAATCAAAACTGATTTTATTGCTCTTTGCTTAATTAAACTCCTCAGAAGTGTGTGAAACATTGTTATACCTGAAAAATTGTTAATTTGTAAATCACAGGGACAAAAGGGCTCTACTGCAACTTTAAAGTTTCTATGCACGTAAATGTCAATAGAGTGCCTTCTCCATCATCAGCACTAAATTCACATTGATGCCTCTTTTCTTCTCTGTATTGATCCTTCCATGAGAACGTAGATTTGTATCTGTTAATTAATGCGTCCTGAAACAGCGTTTGTATTAATCAGGCAGATAAGAAAAATTGGATGCCTGCACCCTCATGACAACCGTAAAAGTGCTGGCCCTGATAAAATCGTGGATGGACCTCAATAAAAAAGTTCCTCCTTCCACTCAATAAACTAATCATCCTGCTTTTAATTATTCGGCAGAAAGATGTGTGGAGATTGGAGAATGTGTAAATCTATTTACTAACAGCAGTGTCTGGGAGGGAGAATGGGGCTGTCACAGGACGGTGCTGCAGGCTACGTTCTCTGTCCATCTGCTACTGCAGAAAAACTGGTTCTTGAAAGACGGGAAGGAACAGAAATGTTGAAGCTAATTGAAATCATGAATTCCTCCCTATAACCTTTCAAATGATTATTTCTTCTCCATTTCCCTCTTACTTATTTTAATCGCAGATGTGTTATTCTCCATTGTCACCTCTTCAAGGCTTTCCTGTTGTTGGCTCAGGTTTTGTTGGTTTTTTTTGAAGGCAGAGAGCTACAGTTCTATTACAAGACTCCAAAGACACTAAGAGAAAATGAAAACAAATAAGGAGGGGGAGAAAAAAGAGAGAGAGCGCACGCAGCCCGTTTTATGTTTCATTTTTTATGGATGCCTGGTGGTTTGGATGTGGGGTTTTCTTTTTTATTGTATTAGTTTTGTTGCTTAGTGCTTATAGAGAAAATCTTGTTTGGAGTAGATGCCTTGCAGATTTGCTAGTTTATGATATAGTCCTGCTTGACTGTAACTCTCGACTTTCAAAACAGAAAAATGCATTTAAGTGTAATTGAACGCCAAAAAGAATGTTCTTACAGCGGGAACCCTGTCAAAGGACATGTAAGCAGCTCCATAAACAAGTAAATGAAAGCCTCAGACACGTCTTAAGACCCTTTAAGAAAAGCTTGACTAATCCCCTTTGATGATTTTATTAAGTACTTGTGGTTGATGGTGCCAACTGGCAAACTACTGCATTTCACCAAAGGGCCAGGAAAAGCACTTCCTTTCCCATATTGTTTTGTAGCTGCTAATGTGATTGGGATATTAGCAGTTTGATATCATAAATTAACAGGTACTGTAAACAAGAGTCTGAAAAGGTAAGACAGTAAAGATGTTTGCCCTTAGTGATCCTCTTAGGAAAGCCAGCAGGGGGAAAAAAAAAAAAAAAAAAAGAGCAGAAGTTAAATTCATTAAGAGGCATTTATTAAATTTTTAGTTGCCCTCAGAAAAAGGATGGTGTGACTGCTATTCCGCTGGCACTTTAATATGCCACCCCGTTATTTCAACAAGTGTAGTAGAGGAGGGAGCCATTACAGAAGTAATTAGCATCTTTTCTGAGGAGGGTAGATGTTACTTCCCTTTCCCCGAGGTTAGAGTTCAAAGAGAATTTTCCTCCTTGTGATAAACACCTTATTTATATGAAAACATCAAATCTTCCCTTTTAAAAAAGATTTATTTCCCTCCTAAATTATCCTTCTTTGTTTATGGAAATGACGAGCAGAGTTGCCAGATCCCTGTTTCACAGCATCAGGTTTCAGAACTAAGCATGAGCGTTTCAGAACAAAGACAACATCATACAAATTGCAGACTATCACTGCGGTACTCCCCAAATTAGTAGGATTCTTACAGAGAGAGCCTGCAAATTCCAACTTGTTTATAACGTCATACGTTGATTAGAAAACATTTGATTTTATATTGATTTACTTTCCTGTAGTAGGATGGGGAGGAGAGGCACAAAAGCAGAAGGGGGAATAATAGAGTACGTACATGTTTTATCACAGTGTATATAAAAATAAATGAAAAAGAGGAGCAGATTTCTGACAAATCCAAATGTGCTTAATATTTTTCCTGTATTTTTTTCCTATTCAGGATTCTCCACTTTGTCTCTAGCTGACCAGATGAGCCTTCTGCAGAGCGCTTGGATGGAGATTTTGATTCTCGGTGTTGTATACCGGTCACTTTCTTTTGAGGATGAGCTCGTATATGCTGAAGATTATATTATGGATGAAGACCAATCCAAATTGGCAGGCCTTCTTGACCTTAACAATGCCATACTGCAGCTGGTAAAGAAATACAAGAGCATGAAGCTGGAGAAAGAAGAGTTTGTCACCCTCAAAGCTATAGCACTTGCTAATTCAGGTTGGCAGAGTGGCATGACAGTTGCTACATTTTTAATATGTCACTTTTTTTTTTTCCTCCATAGTACTTTCTGCATGCTTGTTTTAAACACGGGTTTAGAGTAAGAAATTGCTGATCAGACCTTAGTCTAACAGGCAACAGACAAAGCAGTTCAAACTAAGAAGAGCTTTCTGATTCTAAGTAATTGTGGAATATGTTCCTGAGGGAGTGGAGAAAACTGCAGGGTATGATTTGGGGAGTATTTTACAGGCAAACATCCTTTCAGATGAATATTGATATTGTTCTAGATCCATTCCATAATCCAGGAAGTCTAATAATTGCAATGAAATCAAACAGAAAGGATGCATGAGAATATGCTATGTACATTAAAGGCATCTACTGATTTATTTGCTAGGGTGAATTCAGGGTATGGAAGGAGGGATGAAATTCTTATTTAATCTCACAGGGACCACACCTTACCTTACAGATCCTCTGCATTTATGAGAATGCTCCTGCAAAAATTATTAGCTGGGCAGCAAGGGTTAAAAATCTCAGACAGAATTTTTTTTCTGCATTTGAATTTAAAAGTGCTGAAGCAGTGAATACTGTCAGATAAGTAAAAATCGTTTGTGCTTTGTTGTTTTTCCTTTTGTGTCTCCTTAATGCTTTATTGTGGTCTTAAGTCCCTTTTAGCATTTGCATAAAGTTCACGATAGATCCCTCTTTAATGACGTGCCGATCATTAGATACCTGTGTGTCAATAACATGCTCTGATGCTATGTTCCATTGACAGTCACACCGTGCCCCTCCATCTGCTTTTGTTTTGACCCTATCTTTGAACTTTATCTTGGTTGCTGGCCAGTAGTTTTCCCTTTAATTACAAGAAGGAAACTGTCAATAAAATCTGTTAAATGGGATGCAATGAGTGGCTTGAATGGGCGGACGGCTATTTGTTCAAATTCTGCAGCATTCAAGGTATTGACAGTTTGTTTTCTGGGGCCATATGTGACGATCAATCTCAGGCTGGGCTCAGCCGCGCTGAAAAATGAAAAACCAGATTGCTTTTGCTTACTTGTGGATGACGACTTGTGATTTGGCGCGGTCCTAGTGAGATGAGACCTTCTGCCCAAATTGCCCCCCTGAGAGCCAGGACGCGTGACTGTTTTTAGAAATAATTTTTTAATTGATTTTGTAATTAACAGTTCATCTACAATATTGATGCATGAATCCTCAGATTGATAGGAGGGAAATTGTTTTCAACAATGAAGTTGTACTTTCCTATTTGTCTTTGTAATGTGATTTAGCACTCTGCATTTTTAATTGGAAATGTAATTCAAAAACATGCAAAGCCAAAATGCTTATTAGTTTCTTTGTAAAATATTCTCCACCCCACTAACTCTGCCCTTAGTTTTAGAATACTATCTTGTTTCCAGAATAAACAAAATGCTGAAATGCCTCTCAAAGAGCAAAATGATTTTTAATTGAAGATTTATTTATAATTTTTGACCATTGTAAATAGACACTTGAGGATGCTTTGCAGCTACAGGAAGGATTTTTCTCAAAACTGGTCATACTTGATGAACAGAGCAAGAAAGTTATCTGGAATTAGAAGTCTAAATGGAGAAGGTTTTTTTCTTTATTTTGATTCTGTAATTCAAAGACTGAATTAGAAATATTTCTATAGTTTAATTGATAAAAAGGATAAGGACCGTGAATACAGGGATATGGTCCTAAAAATAACCACTCACCCCTTTTTTTTCCCCCCCCAAAAAAAGACATGCAGTGTTTAAGTAATACTGCTGCCAAAAAGAAGTTTAGTCATACATTGTGCATATAGTGTGTCAAAATCATCTGTAGCTTCATTAACTTCACTGGGAATTACAACCAGGATAATGTCAGAGATAAATGCAATTCAGCATACTAAAATTCAGGGCACATTCAGCTGAAAACATTTCCTTCCCTCACTCATCTTAAATGAAATACAATTGCTATTTTAAAAGCAAACTGTTGGAAGGAGGAGTTAAAAAGCAGCCCAGCCATTCAACTTCCCCTTCAACAGAATGTTTTGACTACTGACATTCAGCGTTTCAGCTTCAGGTTGTACATGCAGTGGATACCAAACTTCTATCAACTGTAGCTACTCTAACCTGTAGGTGTAAAATAGCACCCGCAGAAATTACAGCCCATCAAAGAATATCAGACCCCTAGTGTTTCAATTTACTAATGCCGCTAAAATTAAAGTAAAATTAAAGTAAAATTAAAGTTTTTGTCTTTTTTTATAGACAAAACCAGAAATAGCTAATTTTCACATAACTATGAACTTGATTAATACAAATGCAGCTATAGCCGAAAAAAAGAAAGAAAATGCCATTATAAAATCAGCCAGTTAGCAATTCACATTTTAATATATTTTGTTGCTACATCTGCTTTTATCCAAAACTTCCACTATTTATTTTGCCAGTTTAAAATATAGTAGCCTTTTTATAGCTGTAGAGAGAATGGATGAAGTATAGTAAGAAATCTTAGGCGTTTCAGACATTTTTGCCATATCCGCACTGTCTAGAAGGATTCCCAGGTTGACTCTACTGTAAACAGTAGACAAAGATGGTTTTATAGCTCTGTATCTTTGTTAGTGATTTATGATGCAGTGTCATAGTACTTTCCTGGCTGGTGTATAGAAGCAGGAAAAAGAAATTGTAGATTGTCTTCATATTGATTGTATTTTGTTTGAATAAATACCACAAGCTTTGTTTTGGCCAACAAATCTCAGTTATCGTGAGCATTAAAACACCCCAACTGCTAACTTTCCTTTAGGCCTACAAAGTCTACGTGTGCAGTTCTCGATCTGAGATAATCCTGCCACTTGGTTTCTAAAAGGTGGGCAGGAGGAGCTGTTTCTCAGGGAGATTCTCTGACAGCCGTTTCCAAATGTTCCCTTTGCGGGGTTGGCCAATGCAACGCCGCTTCTATGAATTTCCAGAAATGCAAGACGTATCCACCTTGTAGATTGTCACTGATTTCAAACGAGTGCATATAGCATCTGAAAAGTTTAAATACATATATAGGAGCACAATAATGAAACGTATAGACATTTCAGTCCTGTGTACATTAAAGTCTATCCAGGCATGGTTTCAAGAGTTAAGTTTAATATGTAGTGCTTAATATGGAATTTATCAGGTTAGTTGTAAACGTCTGCATTGATTTGATAGTAATTAATACAACCTTTATGCTTGAACTCCAGAGAAGTCCCTCTCACCGTGGCGTTACCCTTGTCCCGTCAGTATCATGAGTTCCTTCTGTCTTTCTCTACCTCCTCTACGCAAAAGCAAGTTAGCTACCTTGAAGCTGCAGGATGCAACTGCCCCGCGTTCCACCTCACACCGCCCAAATGAAGCAAGCTGGCACCAATGAGTGCTTTGTTTACCCACGCAGAAAATCAACTTTGAATGGTTTCCAAAACATGCATGTACCAATTACTTCCTCTTGCGTAAGGGAAGGTGAAATATTTACAAAATACGTTTGAAGTGTACACAAGTGCGCACATGCACATGTGAACACTCCAACACATAAAAGATGACCTACTTGTCTCTTTTGTGTTAGAAAATGCTTTCATGTATCGATTAGGTAATACTAAACAGGGAGTTGCAGGTGAGCAGTTTTTTGAAAATTGCCTAATCAGTAAGGACTTAAATTGTGCCTTCAGGCCAAATGTTGCAGAAAAGCTTAGGAGTCACAACTGAGACCAGGTTTTTAAGAGAAGCTCAGTTCCCATCTTAAGACCTAACATAAGGAGCTAGAGTGTCAAAATACATTAGCACATTTGAAAATCTTATCCGTGTGTATCTGCCTAATAGGCTGCTGGCATCTTGAAAAATCTGACCCAAATGTGGATGCTAGGCACTTAAAAGTATAACCATGTGCACTGTTGAAAATTTAATCTTAAATGCTAATACTGTCTGTCCAGCCTGTACCACCACAAGGAGAAAAGGACCTCTGCTCACTATCACAATTCCTGGTCTCTCTTATTAACTCTCCTAAAAAAAACCCAGCACCCTTTCAGTACTGAAGGAGTGAGAACCAAGAAGTATCTTGTACATTTTAGTATATGAAGCACAGATCAACACTAATGCCAGTAAAGTTACACGATGATCTATCCTGGTAAAAAAAATTAGTTCATTCATACAACTTACTTAGCTTTCCAGCCACCAAAAAAAAGTGTACTCGGAACACTAGCCTATCACCATTAAATAATATTATCATAATAAAAATTAATTGGTAGAATCCTATAAATCACTTATTCTACAGGACATCATCTTTATTCCCAGTATAGACTGTGGCTTATCTTTTGTCACAATGTACTGTATTTAGTTTCTAATAATGTCAATTTTTTCATTTTATTTTATTTAATCATCTTGTTAGCGTTAGAATTCATGATTAATATGTATCTATCGTGAATAGGCATATATAAAATAGATATATACAGCTGTGTGTTATTGGTGTGTTACCAATGTTAATTTTGCCAAATAGAAGTAGCAAGGTCTGTTAACTCTTTCATGTCATTTTGTATAGAGAGTGGTACAGCACAGAAACAAACCTTCAGAAAAGCAAGTTGCCACTATAGTCAGAGTTTTCGTGTTGCTTGAACACAGTTCTTCCTCATACTCCATTTTCATGTAATCAGATAGATGGCACCCACAATTCTTGGAGAAAAATAAATAACACTGCTACCATTTGCTTAATGGTAGGAGAGATAATTAATGGTTTAATTTTTATTTATTTTTTCTTTTTCTGGTAGCTGAATAACTCAGTTACGAAATAGGTGGATGTTATTTACGTGTTAGCAGCCTGAGACTCACGAAGGGCAAGAAGCGAGGCCAGCCCAGTGGCCAGCGGGAGGACGGAGCCCCGGGTTCCTTCCTGCTGGGGCAGGACTGCAAGGGGAAGAAGCTGTGCTTCTGCCAAGGGCCAGCTCTGCGCTGGCAGGCGGATTTTCTGGGTAGGAACGCAACGGTATGAACCGT